ACAATCTGCGGTGTTCAGCAGGAGCACACTTTCAAAGGGCATTCACCGCCAAGTTGAATTATTGGCGCGACGGTTGTGCGTAAGTTAGAATCAGTCTGTTGTACTCAACGTCATGAAGTACTCTGTTGTCCTGAAACTCGCTGCTCGATGTTCTGCGACCGTCTCACTCCGCGTTCTCAAACTCTGTCGCTCTCGGTAATTTCTGATCTTCTGTCGCCCTCGGCGCTTTCCAATCTTGTGTACTCTGTGGTTTTCGCTATTCTGTGTTTCTCCCGCATTGTGAGCTTAGTCTCCAGCGCAAAGCCTCGTTCCCACACAATTTTCGCCTTCTCATCCAAATAGATTCTAAATGTCCTGCAAAGTGGGACAAGAATCGGCGCCTACGATTCTGTCGATTTCCCTCTTGGTTGGCTATTTGTCGCGTTCTTTTAATCCTTTCCCGCAGCGTGCCTGTTTCGAAAGTGGGTGAAGAGCGTCTTTTGTTCGAAGCGCTCTCCACGGCTATCAACGTAACTCCTCTACGCGGCGAACACCCTCGTCTTCCGTCAATATTCTCACGCGGTGGTTGGCGACTGCACGGATGGCGCCGATAATGCCACGGGGGCGAACTGACATCTTTCCTTCCTGTGATTAGTGCGGAGCCTTCGGGCGTGCTACGTCTGACCCCGGGTTGTTTAATCAACTTGACGGCGCTTAGCGCAAGGCGCTGCACTTGGCGCAGCGCCGTTCGAGCTCTGCGGCCACTGACAAAGAGGGGTCAATGTGTGGCTTTGTCTGTAAAACGATAACTCTTCTCCCGGGTGACGCGTGGGCGAGCGATGGTCTTTGCCTGCCCTAACGACGGCGTTTATTAACGACTCTCTAGGCGACGCATAGGGAGAATCTACTAAAAGGCCTGTCTGTGCTTTGTCACTCTGGAAACGTTTAAAGCATCGATAGTTAGCATTCTTAGCGTAAGAATAATTAAGTGTCAAAGAACAGAAAGAGTTCTCCTTACCGTTAGTAATGCTCGACTGTAACGAACTTCGCACGGGGTTCCCACGCAAATACGCTTCGGAAATGTAATACCAACTTTCGGTAATAATACAACCTTCAGTGCAGTCGACACTGGCGTATTGCCTAACATATAACGTGGTGGAGACCATTAAGTTGGCGCGCTCTGCTGCATCACCTTCTTGACAGGAACTGCTGCCAACGATACTTTAAACGTGCGTGACTGCTGCATGAGTTCGCTGGTCGCAAGCAGAACCATAATGTTACAAAAGATAACGTCTACGTTCGCGCATTCTTCAGAGGTTTCTTACAAGTAGAGATTATGAATAATTGTACACTTAGAAGACACTTTTCGTATTTCTCACAAATTAGCCAATTTCTATGTGGGAAAGATGGCGAGTCTAACTTGCAGCTGCACTCGGCAACACTAGCGCTTCCTATAGTAGCAACCTCGAGCGTTGTCCCCGATTTTAATGGAGAGTTGCCGGGCCCTGGCATATACCGCAGGGCTACTACTACATGTTACTTTTCGCGGCTAGCGTTAGTGCTGCGCTCGAACGGGCGGCGTGCCAATTAAACTGAGCGGTGGTGGGGACCGTACCATGGTGGGGATAATGACGTAAGATATTTCCACCAATTAGATGCACAATATTGTTTTGTACATTCCTTCCGCGTAATTTACAATTAATTTTAGGATTCTATAGGAAATGTATGATACAATGCCATGGAAGTGGCTCAGGTTAGCAAACTACTCAATAATAAAATTAAATGACACAGATTTATTAAAATTAAATCGGAAAAACAATGGTAAATTTTCTAGAAGATATAGAAATTCTTCAAGTAATAAAATCTGATAAATATTCATTTTTGGGATAACAGCAAAACATCACAAATTCACAACAATCATGTAGTTACTTCAATGAAATCTGAACAATAAATCAACATAACTATTATGAAAATATTTGATCTTGAAATGCCTCCAGAGAGATGTCTCTTCCATCAAGCAATATTAATGTGATTAAAAATCCACTTGCAATTACAAACTACTGAACGGAATAAAAACTTCTTCACGATATCAAAATAAGATATTACATATGAAAATCAAAGATATTACTTATGAAATTGCAATAAAATAACTTCTTATAAAAGTGCGTGCCATCCAATTTCAACCCGGTGAAAGAATCAAAGAGACGAGCGATGTCATTAATAAATTCAGCCAAATACTTGGCCCCTTCTACACCACATTTATATAGCGCATTAGCAACAGTTTCACTCAAAACCTGAGCAGCGAACTTCACTTTCATTTTCCTTTTTGGATAAATATGTTCATTTGTAATATTCTCCATGTTCTTATTTTTTTCAATTAAAAAAAATTCTCTAAATCACGCCAGCTAGTTTCTTTCACTTCCCTACTATCTGTTTTAAAAATAATTTTGTTGTCCAAAAGAGCCTTTCTTGTTGCTTTGAGAACTTTAGGAGGATCAGCAATTACAACAATTTTCCAATTATTATTGGAAAGTTGGAGAAGAGTATTAGGAGAAGGAAGTAACATCAACTTCCTGAGGAGTTTGTAAGCCTGAAGACTGCGGTTGCGAAATTACCTTCACTTCTGTCGACCATATATGACCAAAAAGAGATTTGGATTTGTTGCTGAACTGAGCCTTCAGGGGGTCATAAAACAGGGGCGAATATGTTCCCCAAATTCATCTGCAAGGCTGTTCCATTTCTTCTTTGTCCTGAAGGAACTTCACACGCTCTTGCAGAGGTTGAATTTTCGATTTGCTCTCCTGAAGGCCACGTTACATCAGATGCTTACGAGGGGTGAGATCCTTCACACGAGTTGCACCAATGGATTTAAGAATCCCACCACTTCGTAAGCGAGACTGAGAGCTTGGGGTTGATGTATGTTAGTTCAGCAATAGCAATATTACACGGAGTCGCCGTACTGCGCAATAGTCCAAAGCTCAGTACACATGTAACAAGTCAACATAAGGTATGTACTGGTTTTCTCAATAGACATTTTACATTGTATTAAAGAAACAAGGGTTTGTTTAATCATAACATGGAGCAGTCGTAAGTACGGTAAGTTCTTAACTACAGTTTCGAATGCAAAATCAACAAAATAAAAAGTCTGATATAATTCAATGCCAATAAGACAGATAATTCGAACAAAGAACATACAGGCAAACAATTGAATCGCTTAAGTTTCTTAAGCCGATGGCCATGAAAGGTGATCTTGGAATCAACAGGCAAAAATTCATAAACAGTTTCCAGGTATATTGTGTTGTAACGGGCACCAACAAAAAGGATGAAGAAATCGAACTTGCAGTTGTTTTGTTGCATTGTGCTGGTGAATGTGTCGCCGATATTTTCAACCCTTTAACATTGACTAAAGAAGCAAAGAAACCGTTGAGTAAATTGGATTTCTTTTACCACAAAAAATAGAAGTGTCGAAGTCAAGATTAATACGCGTGTGCAAGGTTTAAATGAATGTTTTGATCAGTATCTTACAGAACTGAGAAAGTTTGCAGCGAGCTGGGTTGATCCGGAGTTTAAGTGGCACGGTTCCTTTGATTCACTATTTCTCGTGATTCACAAGATTATAGTTGCGCGGCATAGAGGAGAGATATCTCTACTCTATGTTGCGCGGTTCGCTTTTTCACTAGAGAATAATTTTGATGGCATTGATTAATTTTCTTCAGTCAAAGCATAAAATATACACAATATGACTACGAACCGGTGCTATATGAAGCTATACATTTTGCTATTACGAAACACTTTTTCAACACTATAACATTTGACGACACATTGTAAATTTCAATTCACATTTAAAATTACATTTCATAACACTCATAAAAAAACTAAGCTCAAAATAAGATTTTTGCTCGCTGATTGAACTTAAATATAGACTTGATTTATTAATTAAACAGCCTCCTAATAACACATTTAGTTGTTACTATGACAACAAAATTTACTTCATAAATTGTTGTATAAGCTTCTACAGAATTTGTTGGCGTGGACTTGCGTTTTTTTTTTCGCATTTCAAGTTGTCTTTTAATAGTTTTGTGTATCTACAGAGATTGAAGGTATGAAATCAGGATTTATTTATGATTTGCGCCGGGAGGAAGTTTGAATGTCATCCAATGGTGTCAGAAAGTGGGTTTGCTTGCGTCTCGAGTGTATGTAATGTATGATATGCTAGAATATGAAATTTACTGAGAGGATAGAACAGATTGTTATAAGTGGATTTGTAGGATCAGAGGCGAGAATGGTCATGGAGTGAAAATGTCAATGTGAAAAGATTCTTCGTTTGAGAGGAGTCTTTATTAATTTACTCAACTTCGGTTCATAAAAGTAAAGAGAGTGCATTTTTTCAGATATAAGTAGATTTGGAGATACGTTGATGAATCATTGTAGTTTTTCGTATTATAAGGATGTTCTACATAATTAGTGCAGAGCCGTTACACTAATTTTACTCCTATAGTATTTTTAATACTAAAAAAGTTCTATAATTTCAGCGATTATGTGAGTTGATTTTTTTCTTATAAAATAGTGCTATCTTTAACATATAGTATTTGTTTGTAAAAAAGACGGTTGATTTTACATTATTAAAATCGGGGGGGGGGTCGATAGCCCCCAATAATAAAAGTTTAAGTAGAAAGTGTTAGTGAAATACACTGGAATCTACAGCGTATACAAAAGTGAAGACAAGTTGCTTTTTTTAGTAATAAAATATTGGCTTTGAGTAGTAATCAAAGTTTAAGTAGCACGTAATTGTGAAATAGAAATTATATTTGCGATAACATAATGAACATTACAACACGCGAATAATAAACAAGGATTCAGTTCGGTGAGTCGATTCCCCTTTAGTAAACCGAATCCATAAACCAAAGAAACCGTGCCACCCTAAACTCCGGATCAACCGCGTACTGTAATTTCGGCAATCTTAAATATCGTTTGATCCAAGTTCGAATCGTGAGTGTTCACGAGCAAAGGGTTAAGGAGAGGGTTCTTTGCGAAATAAACCTCACGTTAGATAAGACAATCAAAATTTGCAAAGTCGCAGAGGAAGCAGACTCACATAAAGACAATGACGGACAATACCAACAAGGTGTCGGTAAATGCAGTTCGAAAGCAGTTGCAACCAAAGAAGAAACCAGGTGCTCAAACAATTCAACAAGGACACACACAACAACGATCAGGAGGTACGCAAAATGCTTCAAGAAATCAGTACAGCCAACATGACAAAAGAGCCAACAACCAACATCATCGAGATCAGGTTGCCAACGATGCGGTTTGTATCATACAAAAAACTTTTTCCGGCAAGCGGTAAGGAATGCTTGAATGTAAAAAATAGGTCATTTTGCAAAAAAATGTCGTTTAAAATTTGTAAATGCTATAGAAAATGGAAATGATGAATGTATGTTCTTGGCGGAATTGAAATTAATTATTTAAAATTAGAAAACAATTGGTTTACCACGCTAAAAATTCTTGATTGTAATAAGACACTTAAATTTAAACTCGAGGCGGAAGCATATGTTAATGTAATTCCAAAGTTTATTTTTCAAAAATTAGATATATCAAAAAATCTCAATCAATGCCAGTTTGATATTTCTAATTATGGTAGTATGAGCTAGAAAAAGAGTAAGATTTAGTCCAAACAAGATACAGCACTGTAGTAGTCGGGTCAAGTACATGGGACATGTTATTTCTGTCGATGGTATTAAAGCTGATATTGACAAAGTGGAAGCAATAGAACAGATACCAACACCAAAGAATGTCGCGGAACTCAGCAGAATTTTGGGAATGATTACATATTTATCTAAGTATATACTCAATCTGTGGACATACGCCCACCAGAAAGAATTCATACAGTTAAAAGTTCTTTCAACCAGTCCCGTTTTACAATTCTATAATGAAAAGAAACCGATAACTTTGTCGGTAGATAGTTCAAAGGACGGAATGGACGCAGTTGTTCTCGAGAATGGGAAACCAGTAGCACACGCAGCGAAACGTTTAACAGATACACAACAACGCTGCACTCTTTGCCAATATTCGCATAGTGAAGACTGTCTTGTTAGATTTGGTAATAAAAATCATATAATATAAACTATTCCTGACCGCTGAACGACATGCGGCCGCACCAAATGAAAGAGAACCGAATATGTCAAGGCAAGTGAAATCCCGATCTTCTATAAAAGTGGAGGAGGACAAGACTTAATTGCACTGTAAACCCCAGATCTAGTTTTCGTGAGTGCTTTACCCATGCCAATATTTTCGTTATCGGCAGTGATTCGGCCAAATTTTCACGTCAGCATGCTTGATATTGTATTTGCAAGAAATTTTACAAAAAAAAAGTTTAAACATTTGACAGAAAACTAGGAGAACTTTTCTCGAAGTACATTCAGTAATGCTCTCCTAAAATTCTCACTGAGCACAGTTATTTACTTTACTTCATCACAGCGCACATCACATGTGCCAAGTGAAGTGTATTCTAAAAATAACTCAATCCCAATTAACGTAAATTGTATAATTGTGCCAGTGGCTGTGTAAAAAATAAACGTATTGTTGTAAAAATACCTGTCTCCTTCCAATGTGCAATTGGAAGTAGTCCTAGACACGCACTCTGTGAATACTCTGCGACCATATGAGAAACCTCATGACTATAGACTTGTTTTCCACGAAACAAAATCATACAGTCCCCTCAACATCGTTTAAGGGCACAGCGGTCATAGGGTCGCTGAGGGCAAGTTCCCGTGGGCGGGAAATGAATTAATGATATTAAATTTTGACAATAAAGATAGGATCGTATTTTAAATACACACATTTAGAAAAATTACTAAAATTAAAATTTACAAAACAGGCAAACGTTTAATTACGGCAATCAAGATACCATCTACTCAAGCCGACTTTTTAGTACACATGCTATCAATAATAAATAATATTTACTTTCCAGAGGTAGGTGTAACTAACAGAACCAACAGGGGACTGATTATGGAGATATACATTTCCTAGTGCAATCAAATTCCTGGGTCACGGTTGAACCAACGATTACACAAAACATTAAAAACATTAGCTATACTAGAGTCAATATCAATAAGTTTATTTTCATCATATGTCGTTAGTGTAAGTAATTTATCTGATCATTGCTCACACGAAGGTTTATACATTCCTGAAAATGTTTTAACATTACCAGATACTTAATGAGAATATGTTCATGGTAATAATTTATAGCTTTTTAATAAATGACAAACAAGTCACAATTCTTTAGTTAAGTTATAGAGGCGATTTACATTTTATACAGATTTATCAGTTTCTTCGTTAACACATTTTTATGAGAGAAAATAGTTACAAATTTTGATAAGTTGATTGCATTTTGTATCCTATTTATGAAAAACGGATAGAGGAACATCATGTTATCCTCTTCAGAAACACCAATCCAATCAGCTATTTCAAATTTTGTGTTAATTGACATTTATTATTCTGTATACGGTTTTTTATAATGCTATAAGGTGTTCTAAAAGTACTATTAAGAAAAGGAATTGTGGCAAAAGGGCAAGTCAAATCTATATTATAACAGGTGAAACATACCTATATCAACTTCGCCGAAGAAATCAATACAAGAAATTGTGACCCACATACTATCGGTACTTTAATATACGAAATATAACCAAATTTATGAAATAATACACCAAAGAAAAATATTATTATTCCTCAGAATAACTATATTAAAATCACCAATAATATAATAATTTTGTTTTTCACCAGGAATACACGAAATGAAGTAATATTCTAATGGCCCATTTAGTGAGCCCTCTTAGAAAACAGAAACGGTTTATCACCAGTGTGAGAGCGAATGTGCTCATTCAAGCTTCCTTTTTGAGCGAAGATCTTCTCACAGATGGAACACTGGAAAGGTTTCTCACCAGTGTGGGTGCGCATATGCTCATTCAACCTTCCTTTTCGATTGAAGGTATTCTCACAGACGTTACACTGAAATGGTTTATTACCAGTGTGGGTACACATGTGCTCATTCAATGTTCCTCTTCGAATGAAGGTCTTCTCACAGATGGAACACCGGAAAGGTTTCTCTCCAGTGTGAGTGCGGATGTGCTCATTCAAGTTCGATCTTACAGTGAAGAACTTCCCACAGATGGAACACTGGAAAGGCTTCTCGCCAGTGTGAGTGCGCATGTGCTCATTCAAGGTCCCTTTTACTGCAAAGGTCTTCTCACAGATGGAACACTGGAAAGGTTTCTCACCAGTGTGAGTGAGTACGTGCTTATCCAATATTCGTTTTCGATTGAACGTCTTCTCACATATGGAACAGTAGAAAGGTTTCTCACCAGTGTGGATGCGCATGTGATCATTCAAGGTCCCTTTTACAGTGAAGGTCTTCTCGCAGATAGAACACTGGAAAGGTTTCTCACCAGTGTGGGTGCGCATGTGCTCACTTAAATTTTGTTTTTCAGCAAAGGTCTTCTCACAGACTGAACACTGGAAAGGTTTCTCACCAGTGTGGGTGCGCATGTGCCTATCCAAGGTTCCTTTTACAGTAAAGGTCTTCTCACAGATGGAACACTGGAACGGTTTCTCACCAGTGTGAGTGCGCATATGTTTATCCAAGTTTCCTTTTTGGTTGAAGGTCTTCTCACAAACGGAACATTGGAAAGGTTTCTCACCAGTGTGGGTGCGCATGTGCATATCCAATGTTCCTTTTTGATTGAAGGTCTTCTCACAGATAGAACAGTGGAAAGGTTTCTCACCAGTGTGTGTGCGCATATGTTCATTCAAGGTCCCTTTTAAAGTGAAGGTCTTCTCACAGACGGAACACTGGAAAGGTTTCTCACCAGTGTGGGTGCGCACGTGCCTATGCAACGTCCCCTTTCTGCTGAACATCTTACTGCAAATGGAACACTTAAAATGGTTGCCTTTATACATGGTCGAGTTTGGAAGCGCGTCCTTGTGGTGTGCATTATTGTGGTCATAGTTGCTGGAGCTACTCCTAGGGATGCAAACCAAGTCTGCACTTTGGTTTTCTTGTGTCTGGATAGTGGTTTTCTCTGATGAATAACTCTCATCTACTAACAAAAAAACAACATTTGTATCAAATTTAAAAACAGACTATCAATAAAAATTGCATGATACTTAAGCATTTGTTAACACAATAAACATGCAATGCGTATGCAATAGTCCGGAGTGGGAAATTTGCCCACCGTTCTAGAAGAGTTGAAAGAGACCTTTTTTAATTAGTATTTTAGTTTAGTATTTACTCAGAAAGGTAAACAGATGTAATTCTGAGAAAATTTATAGCTTGTTGATTTTCTGGTAGTAAATCTGAAATTATAGCAGAGATAATCCTTTATGTTCCGACATATATCTTGACAGAAAAAAATGTTTTCAAAATAATAACTACTAATAATACTCTACTCGACTGACCCAACCAGTTGAATGCTTCGGCTATCCAAAACACCGCCTATGGCAGTCATGGTAACTGGTTACTAGGGCCAACATTGACCCGGGGCAAAAACATTATACCATTGATATTGAGATCTCGAAAATGGCTTGATTGGTTTCAATGAACCTTGCAGTGACTTACTGTATATACTGGTCAACAATATATTTGTAACAAAGATGCTGAATGGTGTTCTTAGCTGGGACTTAGACCATGAATTGGATATGAAATCAGTTAATGTGTATCGGTCTCAGTTTTCTTGTTACACGCTTCTCTCCAATTACGGAAATGCTTGAAAACGCTAAATCTAACACCTCTGTGATACTTTATAATACGTCTTAACAGTCCAATACATTTACTGTGGCGCCTCCCCAATTATTACGTATATCCAGAGGCCAGTATCCCTTTCTTGCAAAGAAAACACTAGAAAATAATGATACGCCAAGACATCATAAATACCTAAGCAGATCGTGCGCACCGTACGGACAAGCGAGGATCTAGCCTCAAAATTGGCCTAAAGGGCTACTAGTTAACCCACTAATATATCTTGCACAGTGATACTACCAATACAATCATCACAGGCGCAGGAAGCCGTGAACTAAGTCAAACTATAATGGAAAGAGAGCTCTTCCATATTTTGTACTTCGTCAAAAAGAATAAATAATATTGGCAAAGAATGGACGGTTCTGTACAGCAAAGACTGTCTTGTTGATTTTGGTAAAAAAAACAAAACAATATGAACTATTCCTGTCACGTGAACGATATGCCGCAGCACCAAATGTAAGAGAATTGGATCATGTCAAGGCAAGTGAAATCTCGCTCTCATATAAAAGGGGAGGAGGCAAAGACGTAGTTACACTATAAATCCGAGATCAAGTTAAAAGTCAGCGTGTTCAGTCATGATATTGTATTTGTAAGAAATTTTGCCAAAAACAAGTTTAATTATTTGCAAGAAACCTAGGAGCACGTTTCTCGTAGTACATTGAGTAATGATATTTTTGGTGTAAGTAAAAGATTAGATGTTATGTGCAAGCAAGTTAAATATATTATTACAAATTTGGTTTTATTAACTATTGAAGATCAGTGTTACGCATACAGTGCTGATTTGTCTGCTTTCTGCAGAATTTTGTTTTCTCCTCACACATACATGTTTCTGAGGAAATCTTCACAACTACGAACAGTTAAAAAATGTACTCGGTGTAAAAGATCAGCCCACAGAAAGAGCAAGCAGCGGCGAACATTTGCAAGTGTGCTAAGGAAAAATTCAAAACATTGCCGAAATCAGATTGCATAAGTTCATTCATGTTAGATGGAATTTACGTTAAATATTTCTCAGACAACAAAGATGAAATTATATTTGGTGCAGCATATGATAGTCCAAATGCTGCTACATCACCTCATGCTGGTTTATATTACTTAAAATTCTCCCCTATAATATATTAGTAGTCTAGTCGCTCACACGCAAGCAATATTTATAAATCTGTGGAAATCGGTGGAATTGTGCATATTAAAGGTTTGATAAATATTTTAAAAAATACATTTAAGTAATTTTTGAAAGAAAAATGAATACAGCAAAATTAAATTCTACGTCATCTTAAACAATGCAATTAATCTGTTAAAAAAGTTTGAAGAATTATTGGAGCTTTTTTTTAGAAAATTGTGTTTGAGGGTCTCTCAAAATTCGGAATTTTGAGCTAATTTTCACGGAAAACGGTTGAGTTTTCGACTAACTTTATCTCACATTATTTAAAGCACATGTACTCATAAATACATTCATGAAAAGAAATTGTCGATATTGTAAATAGTAACGACAATGAGAGACTAGTCAAAAAATTACATATTTGTAATTTTAGAAAAAAAAACAAAAGAATAGAGTTAACTCATGTGCATGTCACCCCCAATGTACGTTTAGCACCATCCCTACCAAAAGTTTAAAGAAAAATCTTGATCTCGATTTTGTTTTGCAATTTTTTAAAAACTGTACCAATTTAACGCTATATTGCTCGAAAACAATTCAAATTTTCAAAAAATGTACATAACATTAATAAAGTAATTACGGATATTTCATTTAAAAAAATATCTTTCTTCAATTTTGTATTTGCAGGAAGACTCCGAAAGATCCTTTTGAAATTTTCTAAACTCCAGACAACTGTGAAAATTGGACCCTTGCCACTTTTATAAGTAGGTTACTCTATTCTCCCAAAAAAATTAAAGAAACAATTTGGAGCCGTTTCTGAGAATATTTCGAAAATGTCCGGGGGAAAATGTCTTCATGTAAAGTACCCCCCAATTTTAAAGAATGTTTTTCAAAATCTCAATGCTTCGACTCGAGCCCGATGGACGGGTTTCTTGAATTTGGAAAACATCCTGCGCATCGTTCAGGCGCTTGTAGTGTCCACAGACGGACGTTTTAAAGAAAAAAAACCAACAATTTTTCGTTACCAAGGGACCCCAAAACTTTATTTCCGTTGAAATTTCGAAATCATTTTTTCTGCATTACATAACTTTCCCTGTATTACGTATAATACTCCGTATATAAGTAGGTATACGGGAAAGTAAAAATGCCTATTTGTGAAATTTTCTTTCACAAGAATACTGAAAGATATTTTTACAACGAATTTCTGAGTAGTAAGTGTTTGGGAAGCCTATTCCCAAACACTTATAAGATATGCTGGAAGCACTCGAACAGTGTTCTAGAATGTAGCTTCATTTATTTCTAAGGTCCTTTCGATATTTCTAATCGATCTTGATCTGAAGTAACGGTCCACATACTACTTAACCATTTTCAAGGAAAAGGGTACATCAGCCACGCATAAAGGGAAAGGGCGCTTTCTAATGAATCAGGACCGAGAGACCTTTCCACATCTTTCGCAGAAGGATAACTTTTACCATTTTACTCTCACTTACCAACGTAAGAAGAGAAAGTATTGTAATCATGCTTCGGAAAAGAGCGATTTTTTACCCAAAAAACTTTTATTGCCGGGATAAATCCAGTTACTAAATGTAGAAAAAATAATCCTCCAACACGTGTTGGCAGAATCCATGTTTTATGGGTCCTTGATACAGAAAAATTGGTTGACGGCAAAACGTCTATCCTCCTGTGCGCTAAGCTAGCGCATAAATTGTTCGGCCGGTTTTCTCCAAAACGGATATTCCTCAAGTGTTCTAGAAGATATCGGGGACTGGAATTTGAAACCGAAATTTTGATTTTGGGGGGTACGTTACGTGAAGCCACAGAGGCATTTCCAAATTTAAAAAAAAAACAAAAAAAACCAAATTGCTTGATTACATTTTGTTGTTGAATAGAATGTTTTCAGAGGTCATTTTCGTTGACATTCAGAACTTCAAACTTCAAAATTGGAGACAGATGTTTGTCTTAAACAAGCATGTAGTACAAAATTGGCTCAAGAAAGGTCCTGTTTAATTGTTTGAAAAAAAAAAAAAACACAGTAGTTTTGCATATTTTGGGAATGATATTTACAAAAAAAATTTCTCAAAATCCGCCTAATTTTTTTTCTTTAAAATTTCTTAACCGCACTTATACTTTTGAATGTTTTCCTACGTTTGAATGTGTTCTTCCGTGCACGCCATCAAAAGGAAACGTGGCTTCTTTGGTTTATCTTTTTCACTAAGGAAGAAACTACTGAAATCCACCGTTATCTCAAAACATCACCTCTTCCCTTGGGGTGAGGGGAAGGGGTTTGTTTTATAGAATTGAATAGAAGAGAATTGAAGCGGATTCGTCTCCGAGCTCCTCCACCCCCCACGAGTCCAACAATGGGCACCCCACTGGGGGGCCAGGATTAACACGAATGCTTCCTTGGCTTCTTTATAATTGTGGGCCCCCTCAGTATGAGGAACGCCATCCCTACGTTCCGTAACATGTATAGATTTGTAATTTGGGCACTTGAGTTGGGAATACGCGCACTTGACAGCTTTGGGGGCTCTTTCAAGGCTCTCCAGAGCCCCAAGGACTGCTGTGGCTTTTTAAATCGGTATGGCGATCTAGTCGCATTGTTTTGGGAAAACTCCGGCACAAAGTTTACTAAGAACTCACTACCCCAATGGATTTCTAACTTATGTTCATGAAATAATTAACAAAAAACAAAACTAGGGCACCAGTGCGAGAACTCTCGCATGTTATTCCCAATCCTTTCCATTAAGAAGGTGTAACTTCGTACTTACACAATCTTCTTACTTATATCAAACAAAATGAAACAATGCAATTGATGTTGGAAACATATTTGCAATAAAAGTTCATTCGGTGTTGTAGAGAAATGTTCTTCAAACAATTCACACTTTCTTAAAAACATTTCAAGTTCCTTGACAATTAACAATTCGCCTTCCTTGATAGTCACATAAATATTAGAAAAGGTTTTTACACTTAAAGCCAAGTACAGTTTTCCACGGCGAAAATACAGGTTCGGGCAACTACAATACTACTTTTTGCAATATAGTTTAACTTTCCTAAATTTGTTATGAGGTATTATTGAAAAATTATTTGGATACTACAAAATATTTGATTATTTTCTTCTTTCGTACGTACCTCAAAAACTGCAATAGCGAGACAAAAAATAATAAAAATTTTTACATTTGAGTAATAACTACGATTTGTAATCATTTCAAACA